ATGCTTGATGAGAAATGTAGTCATTATCTTGGCCATGTAATTGTAACCCCTCTGTACAATATTTTCACAATAAAAAAGAACTGGAAAAAAAAACCCACCAGAAAACCGTAAGTGGCGCTGTAGCTCAAGTGGTAGAACGCTAGCCTTGAGCTGAAGAGCTGAGGGACAGCCCAGAGTTCAAGCCCCACGACCAACAACAACAACAACAAAAGTCTGTTCACATTCAGTACAGACCCAATTTTGAATCTACATATACAAACCTATGGATGGGAAGATTCAATTGTACATACATTGAAAAGTGCAGGATGCTACAATTTGGAGTTATAAAGGTTGTTAATTATTTTTATAAACATGTTTTAATTTTTTTTTTGCTTAATAGATAGCAGTTGAACTGCTTGCTTGGTCAACTCTCATATGCTTTTTAAAAGTTCCTTCCTAGTGTTTTGTTATCATGCCTGGATCTATCTTCATATAAACCTATTGGGGTTATATCTTAGTTGGATTTCTTTTTTTTGAACTCTGCTTCTTTGATTTGTAAAAAATCTATGTATTCTTTAAAAAAATTATCATAAAGGTGAAATTCTATGTACTCTTGCAGCATATTGAGACTGGGTCTGTCAGTAACTTGTTTTCAGAATTGCATTCTTTACTTACGTTTTCCGTCTATATATATTCCCTGGTTTCACTTTATTTTTTCATGGATTCCATAGTTCTTTCTTCTTTCTACTTATGTTTAAACAATGATAGATTGATTTCAACTACATATTTGCTAAGTGGGTACTTAAATTGCCTGTATCTCATTCTCAGCATTAGAGCTTATAAAAATTGGATAGTTATTACTTTCATTCAGATACTCTTGGGCATATTGGTTTGAGGCAGGGGTTTTTCTGATGTTTATGTATTATTTTCTATTCACCTGAGCTGATGAGCCTCTGAGAAAATTTTAGTATTTGCTTTAATAGAGACAAACACATTTCACTTACTATGTGCTAGGCATTAGTCCTCTATACTGATTTTCAGTAAATTTGGGTTCAAGCTGATTCATGTGTAGTCTATTCTTACACTATGTGTCCTTTGGGGACAAACAGTTTTCATTTCATTGCACTAGTACTGGTAAAGGGTTCAGTCATAATTCAACAAAATGGTTATAATCTAATAGCATTAAATTAGTAGTTACATTGAAAACTGAGCTGGACAGAGAATGTTCAAACAAACAAGTCATTTTTCTCTTGTTCTGTCTCTTTAGACATCTAACTCTGTCTCACCATTTTTATAGTTTATAAGTAATTGTGAGAATTTGATTCACTTCTAAGATATATTTTAAACAGAGATATATAAAAACAATGATTTCCTTTTTTAAAAAAATGTTTTTAAAGAGGGCATCTCTCTTTGATAATTATGCAAAAAGTCAATAGAATACAGTCTGATTTTTACCATTCACCAAAAATTTGTATACCATGATTAAGTTGTTTTCATTACAGATAGGCAAAATTGGCTCAGCATACATGAAGCATAAACACAATCACATTATCATGACAAATGCAGAAAATGCATCAACTGACAAAATTCAAATCCTTTAGAATAGGCTCAGAAGAAGCAATAAATATAAGGAACATACCTCTTTTTTTTTACTGTTTTATTGTAAAGATACTGTACAGAGGGGTTACAGTTACATGAATAAGGAAATGAGTACATTTCCTACTGAGCATTGTTACCCCCTCCTTTGTTTTACCCCTACTATCCCTTCCATTCACAATAGCCTAGAAGAAATACCTAACACTAAGCCTAACCACAAAGTTGAAAGATACCTACAGTGACCTATAAAGGCTTGAAAAAGAAATTGAGGAAAACATCAGAAGACGAAAAGACATTTCACCCTGCATTATCAATACACAAATCATGACATTTACAGGGAACTAGACAGACCTGTAATCCCTCATCTTAAGTTAGTAAGCCAGGCTCAGAAGGACAAAGGTCAAATATTTTAGACCTAATATATAGACTTATAAGTAAGTAATCAGAATTGTATGTGATCAATCAGACTGAAGTATGATGTATGCATGTGTGAGATACATTTGAGAATCCCCATTGAGCAATGGGGATATCCTTTAATAAAAAGAAGTTAGGAAATTGAAACATGCTTTGTCCAGTGTGTAGGTACTAGTGGTGGGATCAGATGAACAAGGAGGAGGAGGGATGATGCATATTGTCATATATTTTATATACTTGTGTGAAAATGGAACAGAAAACTTCATTGGACTAGTTTGAGAAAGGGAGAGGGAGGAGAGAAAATGGTGGAGGTGATGATGATAATCAAGATGAACTTTATACATAAATGTGGTTGCTGAAATCAATCTCTCAGGTAAGCTCATGGTAATGAAGTAGAAGGAGGACTAGGAAGAGGAAGGGGAAAAGGAACTTGAAGAGTAGGAGGATGAAGGAAGAAGAAGGAGGAGGAGGAGGAGGAGGAGGAGGAGGGGGAGGAGGAGGAGGGGGAGGACGATGACGACCAGGAGGAGGAGGAGGAGGAGGAGGAGGAAGAAGAAATCATCTTTATGAATAACAGAAAAGTACATCCAGTCTCATTCAATGAGCTAGGATCCAGGAGGAGGCACAATATTCAGAATCCCTTTGTGGCAGCACATCTTTATGGTGGTATACAAATGATAGTATCATACTCTGGTTTCTCTTCAGATTGTATAAATCTTTCACCTTTTACAAATTAATTATATGTAATATGAATAGTGTGAATAATTCACTAAAAAGGAAAGAAAGAGAATCTTCTCAGATTTTTTCAGTCTCTTAAGTAGAGTATGGGTTCTTTTGCCATATTAAAAGTTAAACAACTGAATTTCAAAAAGCTTAGTAGCTACTTTTTCAGCTCATTGCTGGTCACTGATTTACCAAGAATTAGTTTCCATGAATTCAGCCTGGATTTGCCTGGGCATTTTCTGTTTTGCATGTTGCTTCTGCATGGCAGATTTCCTCTGAAATCCCAGAAAGGACACCCACAAGGCTCTGTTCTAGTTCACTCTGACTTATGTGGGCTCAGAAGATAGCTTATGTAAGTGCCATTCCTGGGCTCAGGTTGCTAGAAGAGGACTTTCCTCTTTGAAATTACCTTCAGTTACAGCTCTGGTGGGTGTGCACAAGAACAATATGAAACCAAGAACCTCCTGAGGAAATTGTTTATCATGAATGTTCTTTCTTTCAGGTCTCCTGTTTGGCATAATGTGCACCTCTATGGCGGTGCTTGCATCTCTCATGGGTAGTGTTATACAGGTAAGAAAAGAGAAAAGGTACTTGTGTTTCCACAGAAACCTTTCCTTCTCTTTCTAATGCCTTCCTCATTCCACCAGGCCTGAAATACTTGCATTCGTGCACAGTGTGTCCAAATGAAACATGCACAAAAATTTTATGAAAACTGATTTTTCAGAAGGGGAAACTATTAAAACTAGTGATGAGGCAGTGAAAAGGTACATTAGGGTCAAAGAAATGCTTTTAGTAATAATCATAGTAATAAAAAACAACAGCAATATTAATACAATGCTGTTCCTGGTAATTAATGAATTGATATTTTTCAGATGAAGAAACTATGAAGTTCTTGTCCTGAGATTGCATATTAGAAATATATATACATATATATCTTCATACATATGTAAATATATATGAAAATATATCTATATATCTATATAGTTTCTGAATTGATTTTCTCTTTCTGTCATAGAGATAGAAGCTATGTACCTCCTGAGATATAGTGAAATGACTTTGTAAGATATTGTCATATTTTCCACAAAAAGAAATGATTGTTTTCACTACATTATCGGCTCTCCTATGTGGTAGTTAATCTATTAGTTTTTCAACTCAGGAGCCACAGTAAATAGGATTTAATTCTGTCAATCAACAGAGGGAATAGTGATGTATTGCAGCTTATCATTCTGGACAAGGAATTTACATACAACAATGAGATGTACAAGACATTATGCAGAAAAAACGTACTTTACAATTTTGGCTGGGGGTGGGGAGGGGGGGAGATGGGAAGGGATGGGAAGGGGAAACAAAGGAGGAGGCAACAATGCTTCATAAGAAATGTACTCATTACCTTGTCCATGTAATTGTAACCCCTCTGTACAGTATTTTCACAATAAAAAAAGATAAAAAAAAGGAAAGTGAAAATGGACTAGAAATCCCCTTTGCTATGTATATTTTGGTAGAGAAAAAAGAAAACTCTGAAATTCAGTGGTTGTGAGTTACTGAGCAGACTCACTAAATCTTTGTGATGTTGGCCAGGCTGCAATTAGGATTTTCAGTATTCTGACTGTTATTGATGTACTCTTTGAAAACTTTTTTCCCCTTTTTATATAAAATAGCAAGAGCATTATGATGGTCTGTTCTCTTGATTTTCTTTTAAAGCCTAATTTTAGAAGAGCAAATGTGGGTTGTAAATTGGGACTTTGAATTCATATCTTATCTCTGCCTCTTTCTCAATAGAAATAGCCCTAAATTTACTAAGGTTTCCTTAGCCCTGATTTTCTTTTTCTTTTTTTTGAGATAATATTTATAATTGAACCCAGAACTGACTTATGGAAAGCACGTATTTATCAAGTAGTCCAAACAGAATTGAAACCTCATTTCATGCCAGGTGTAAGACAGGGATGGTGACAGTGAGCTCCAGGTGCAGTGAGTGGCATCATAGGGCTAACCTGGCTGCGTTGTTCCACAGGCTGCCCTCAGCATCCATGGTATGTGCGGGGGACCGATGCTGGGTTTATTCTCTCTGGGAATCCTCTTCCCTTTTGTGAACTGGAAGGTAAGGATTCTACATTCCTCTTTATGATCCCTGGCTCAGACCGGGACCCTACATATTTTTCTCCTTTATGCTACTTGGAAATGCCACTTATTTTTATGGACAGTAATTCACAGTGAAGATTAAATGGCTTCAGGACTCTGGCATCTGACTACAGTGAAGTGTTGTTAGAAATTAAAAGCAAAGAGGGGAAGAAGTGGTTAGGAACTTTTTAAAAATTAAATTAGGGCTTGCTGTAGTGGCTCACACCTGTAATCCTAGCTACTCAGGAGGCTGAGATCTGAGGTTCATGGTTCAAAGCCAGTTCAAGCAGGAAAGTCCATGAGAACTCGAATCTCCTATTAGCCACTAGAATACTGGAAGTGGCACTGTGGCTCAAGTGGTAGAGTGCTTGCCTTGAACTGAAGAGCTCAGGGACAGTGCCCAGGTCCAGGGTTCAGGACCCATGACTGACAAAAAATAAGAAATAAAAAGAATAAAATTAGGAGCCCTCAATTAAAATATAATTTTGGAAATACAAATTATAATACATATGAATTATAAAAAATAAATTTATTAAATTAATTGATTTATGCAGGAGAGAAGTATTAATCCAGGGATATTCTGATAGCTGTTTCTTACTTCAGTTACTGAGCTGGGGAGCTATTAGGCTTTGAATAAGCATAGGTTAACATGTTTTAAGCATAAGTCAAAATGAGGATAGTGTAATAATATTTTTATAAATACTTGAAATATGATTTTCTTAATCTAGAAAAATTGGCATTTTTATTGTTTGTTATACACATAGTCTTTAGGGATTCTGAAAAACTTGACCCATATTAATTTGCATGAGTACTACTTGATATTCTGTAAATCCTGAGTCAATATCTTCTTAGATGACTTTTGTAAATATCTGGGCATTTACACCACTTTCTCTACAGCCTATTATTGGGAAATGTGTCATTTATTAGTGTATATGAATTGTACAAAGTGGTTCTATTGTTGTATTTTCATTCATGTACATAATGCATGTTGATCAACTTCACTCCATTTATTATCCTATAAAACTTATCAAGTTGCATTATTCCATTTTCAGCCTGAAGATAAAGTATTTTGATAATATTCCCTGCCATTACCCTCTTCCTGTCCCCATCTTCCTTTGTGGCCAAACAGTCTCCATTTTACCTTCTATCATTCATTTGTGAAGATCTAGATTCTTCATGCAATATTTATCCCTCTCAAGCTGGCTTATATTATTTAATTTCTAGCTCCATTCTGTCTTAATCATTCTCACATTCTGTAGTTTATAGGATATTTATGTCATGTGTGATAGTATAAAGGAAGACTAATACCTAGTTACAAAAATTCTGATTTCAAAAATCAGATTTTTTAAAAAACGGTTATTGTAAAGGTGATTTGCAGAGAGCTTACAGTTCCACAAGTCAGGTACTGGGCATATTTCTCTTTGAACAGTGTCACTTCTTCCCTCTTTTCTCCCAGTTTTTCCCCTTCCCCATTTTCAACATAGTGTCCATTGAGTATCACTGCTGCATTTGTTCACCCTTTTCCATCCATTTCTGTACCCCTCTATCCACCCCAAAACAGATTAACTTACCGTGCTCATTGCAGCATTGTTTGCCATAGCCAAATATGGAATCAACCCTCATGCCCCTCAGCAGATGAATCAATCAAGAAATTGTCCATATTCACAAAAATCAGATCTTAATAAATTGTATAATTTTTAGCTAGGTAAGAGGATAATGTTTTGGTCCTTCTGTTTATTCAAGAAAAATATCTTATTCTAGGTAGAGGAACAGTAATATGATCACTTTTTGACACTTTTTTCAATATTTTTATTGTAAAGATCCTGTACAGAGGGGTTACAGTTACATGAGTAAGGTAATGAGTACATTTCCTACTGAGCATTGTTACCCCCTCCTTATTCCTTCCCTTCCCACCTCCCCTGTTCCTCCCGATTTCCCCCGAAGTTGTTAAGTTCATTTTCAACATAGTGTTTTGTATGTCTCCTTGTTACAATGGGTCAACTTGTATCCTTGTTTCAGCATTTTGTTATTTCCCTTCCCCTCCCTAAATTAGAAAAATGTGTATACAAGATACAGGGCATCAGAATCAAGTACAGTGGACACTTCTTCCTTTTCATTGTTCATCACTGATCATTCTTATCTGTCTTGATTCCCCTACCCACAGAATGTACATCAAATATTAGAATCTGCCTCCTTACCACTCTCTAGGCAGTGACTTCAAATCAACCAAACTTGATCCTCCAGTTCAAAACCATTTTCCTTTCGGTGGAAAGCCAGTGATTCATCATTCTCTTCTTAGTCCACATTTCGCTACCTTTCTGTTTTTGATATGGCCTACTATGTCAAAATGTTTTTTGACATTAACAAGTGGTTGGAACACAATAATTGTATTTCATGACACATGAATACAGTATTCTGTTAAATTCAAATTCCTATATCCATAAATAAAGTTTCATAGGATTACAGATGCTCTCTCTCTCTCTCTCTTTCTCTCTCTCTCTCTCGTTGGTCATGGGGATTGAACTCTGGGCCTGGGCACTGTCCTTCAGCTCTTCAGCTCAAGGCAAGCACTCTACTTCTTGAGCCACAGAACCACTCCCAAGCTCTCTTTAATCTGAGTATTGTTTATAGTTGTTTCATGCAAGAATATGAAAGCTGAATAGCTATGACAGATACTGTTTGACTTATAAACCTTAATATTTTATATGTCTGTTTAGGGTATAAATTTTGAACACATCTGGTTTAGGCCAAGTCATAAATATTTATTTGCACACATCTTTAATACCCCCAAACAATATTGGAGAACATATGCAAGTGCTCTTGTCAAAGACTCTTTCCAATGGGTAATAAAGAAGCCAAAAAGGTGCATTCTTGCACATAGAAGGCTGAATACTTTACTGTAGACTAGAAGTATTAAATTTTAATTTTCCAGTGCTCTTGGTCTCTGCTAGATGATTGAAGCACATGTTGAGATAAAAAATGTTGGGGGGCTGGGAAGGTGGCTCAGTGGTAGAGCGCTTGCTTTGCATGCTTGAGGCCCTGGGTTCCATTCCTCAGCACCACATAAGCAAAAAGAAAAAAGCCAGAAGTGGCGTTGTGGCTCAAGAGGTAGAGCACTAGCCTTTAGCTGAAGAGCTGAGAGACAGCGCCCAAGCCCAGAGTTCAGGCCCCACGACCGGACCCCCCCCAAAAAAAAATGTTGGTCCTAAGGCTGGAACTCAGAGCTTGGGTGCTAAGCCCTGAGCCACTGTGCTCAAGGCTAGCACTCTACCACTTGAGCCACAGAGCCACTTCTGTTTTTTTCTGAGTTGCTTATGGGAGATAAGTTTCACAGACTTTCCTGCCCAGTCTGGGTTCAAACCATGATCTTTAGATCTTAACCTCCTAAGCTAGGATTACAGGCATAAGCCATCAGCCCTATACACCCTTGTTGACTTTTTATCTCACTGTGTAATTGTTCTCAATAAATAGAACCTTTGGATGGGAGAAATAATTGTTATATTTTTTAGTATTTAGATTGAAACAAAAGTCTACAAAACTTGCTAGTCATAAAGCCTACATTTATAATTTTGAGTTTACCAGAGTTTCTTAGGGAAAATAGGGTTAAGATTTTTGTGTGTTAACTGCTAGTGAAAATGACTACAATTGTCCTGTTTTTTAAAGGGTTTCCTCAACTTCTGAAAGTCTTCCTCCAAAAATAAAGCCCCAATATTTCTTTAACAAGAAAAAATTCCAAAGGGAAGAATATGTCTTGCTATAAATTGAAATAAAGTGATTACTGTGAAATTCTCTTGGGTCATCTTTTAAGGAACACATTCTTTATTAAAGCAGCTTTGTGGAACCAGAGTGTAGCTCCTTGGTAGAGTGTTTGTCTGACATGCATGAAACCATCCTATGACCCCAGCACTATAAACAAACAGACAGCTTTGTGAGGGTTGAATTTAAGGCAAGCTAGACTGCTTCCAATGTGTGTGGTCAGTGGTTGAGATGGATAGCCTCTTCCTCTGTGGACCACTTGTATCATTACTCTTACAACACACTGCTTTGTCTCACAGCTTATTAACTTCTTCTTTCTTCATAAAGGGTGCACTAGGAGGCTTCATTACTGGGATTGCCTTATCATTTTGGGTAGGCATCGGGTCCTTCATTTATCCTGCTCCAGATTCTAAGACGTGGCCTTTGCCTTTATCAACAGACCAATGTGTCCATTCAAATATGACAACAACAGTCAGTCGGGAGATCTCTAACAGGTATGTCGACTTCAAGGTCATGCTATGTCCAGAGAACAGGTCCTCAGGTCAAGGGAAAAGTACACTCCTCAGGGATCAGGCTGACATGGATAACTTTCTTAGGAGAATTACTCTGTAGTAGAGAAGCCTGAAGACTGCTATGCAGGGTTGTGGCTTTCTGCAGATGCTCTTCTGTATTTAGGCACATAACAGTAAACTTGGCACAAATATATCTTGAGATATGAATGCACACCATAAAGCAGTAGTAGAGTGTTGAAAATTAGATGAGCAAGTCCAAGCATCACATTATCCTAAAAGAATTGAAGGACCTGAGAGGAGGCCTAGGAGAGGAGTATGGCTGTCCACACTCAGCACACAAAAGCATTCCTTCCTGTTTTGGGTGATATGTGTATATATATATATATATATGTATATATATATATACATATATATATATGTAATCTAAGATAACAATACAGGAAATGTTATGGTATAGGAGAAAAAAAGGACTTTGAAACAATGAAATGCTTGGATTTTGGTTTTATCATGTTTCCTCTCTGTGTTATTGGACGAAACTGAGCCTGTGAACAGCTACTTATGGGTTTTTGAGAAGATTAATTTTGAGACAGTAGTGTGTCAATATATCTGTATCTACCTTTTATATAATACACAAATATATTATAATTTATGTATATATACTTGCATAGTGCTGTATCTGATTGATAAGTGTGTAATAATTCTAACTGAATTTTTAGAAATATCTCACAAACAGGAAATGTGAGAGTTTTGGCCCTTGTTTCCAGACACAGAGTTTGGTTTGGGGCAGTCCTTTTCTGATTCTTATCAATCAATATTTCCCTGCATTTTCTCATTTCTTCCATCAACCCTTCTAAAAATT